GCTGTCAAACCTACACTAGCAAGGAGATCGGGCTGAAACTATAGCTACAAGCTATCCAAGGATGGTACTATAGAATGTCACCTCAAGGTAGGCCTAGTGGCGTCATCTCTTGGTTAGGCCGGAAACTTATCAATCCACCCTCGTATATAGAAGTGCAGACAATAGTTTGGCCATTTTTGGGTTTGACATCAATCTTTTCAGAGCACCTTATCTTCAATTTTTTTGTTATGTTAAGACTTTCAATTCCATTTATTTTTGTTTTCTCTTTTTGTGAAAAAGTAGTAGATACTATCCTAACTAATATTATTAATGCGAATGTCAGTTTGTTTGTTGTCGAGAGATAAAAAAAATTAGTTTTATTTCAGGAAAAAGGGTTGTGATTATTACGTACCCGAACGTATCTCTCGCTCTAAAATTTTATAAAATTTTTTTGGATCAAAGTCAATACCATAAAGTTATTTTTTGTTACAAGTCAATTTAACTTTAAGTGCAGAATAATAATGCATTTTTAAAGAAATTAAATGTCAAATCACAATTTCATTAGCGTGTGCGTCTATACTTACAATCTCTAAATAATTCAGTCTATAATTTCGCAATACATACATGGCGAAAAATGGGGCAAAAAACTGTAAAACAAAACGATTTGGGGTTGAAATTCATATTGACAAGTGACTTTTTTTTAAGGAATTTTATTACTCACACTGAAAACGTACAACAAACCTAAGCCAGCCCAGATGGCACTGTTATTAGACGCATCACATCGACATTATTCAATCATCGAATATTTATCCTTTCTATATTTATTTACTTACTGACCTAGTAAGAGGCCTAGCAACCTCGGAACAGCGACCAATTTTTGTCCACTATTTGAAATTTGTTTAATTGAACGAATTTCTAATTATAATTTCCTACATAAAAGCTCACGGAGCCCAACATTGCGATAATATTAAAAATGCTTATATTTTATTAGTTGAGCTTTAATTACAGCGATTTTATTAGCCCCCCCCCCTCGTTATTTTTTCCCAACTTAAAACACGACTGAACTGTAATGCATGTTTGTAATTTATAAATAATAGGAACACAACTAGCGCACCTATAAGTAGGCCGTAAATCTGCCGTGTTCGGTATTCAAGTCACATTAATGGCGCATTTTAAGTAATCGCCTTTATTACTAGTTCTTAGCTCTCATTAAAATTACTCGCAAGATAAATTTAATCATCGAAACGTTCCCAACAAATTAAAACAAACGACTTTTATAAATTAGACACCGGACGCAACTAAACGGGAGTCGACATATCAAGATGAAACGATAAGATAATCGTCCGGTGGCGAGTGTTAATCGACCTTTCGACAAATACAGGGGCGGATTCAGGCAGGAAACAACTCACCGTGTCATTGCAACGTATTAATAAAACTCTTTAAAAATAAATCAATAGATTTTCAATATAATTCTTAGCGAATATTCATAGTTAATATAGTAGCATCGCAAATTAGTAAATATTAATAAAATATGAACCACTTTGACATTTAATAGGGGTTGATATCAAATATTAATGTGAAAATTCATTTTAATTTTGAACAGATCTGTGACCTAATAAGTACGATTTGTCGTTGTTGCTGTTGTCACCTCTCGTAGCTGAGCGGTCAGAACATTGGTGCGTAAAGCCAAAGGTCCCGGGATCGATTCCCGGCGACAGCAACAAATTTTCCCTCATAAACCTGAGGTAGTTTATAGTGGGAAAAAATTTAATTTTTACATTAATATTAAATATAAAATACTTCCAGAAACTGTTAAAATTCATTAATCAATCTACCTTGTAATACCGCAAACCATATAAACATGAAGATGCAGTATATGGTATATAGTAAACACTCAAACGTAGTATTCGAGAAAAGGACTTGTGATACAAGAACAACTCTTGAAACATATACGTAACTGTGTTACATTTGTACTTACAAACACCGAACCACAGCATGTATCAACAAAGTATTTCGGATTCGATGTAAATTTTAGTAGATACACGACGACGCGACGCTATGGTTCGTCTGTCCGTCTGTTGTTGTCGTCGTCGATCGTTTCATAGACAAGTTCGAACACAGTTTGCATTAGCGCATTATTGTAAGGCAAACATCTTCTTAAAGAGACAAACATTCCGATGAGAAAATATTTCCCGAGAACGTTAACAGTTTACTTTATTTATCTAGACAATTGTAAACAGACACCTACCTGTGTGTTTCGCTTATTAACACCTCGTTCCAAATACACAAGTGTTTTCAAAAGATGTTTACACTTTTGCATCCACTATTATCTTTCTTAAGGATCGGATATTCTCACGGTCTGGACACCGGTCTCTGAGATGACAGTAGCCTGCTAGATGCGACCCTCTTCGCTACCACTTTGACCAATTAAAATCTCGAAATTTGTTTTACACAAATTCCACTTGTTGCAATGACTTCTTGGGAACCGGACGTTTGCCAATTCAGATGTACCGTACTGAAAAGAAAAAAAAATCAATCAATTTAGTATTTAAATTCATGATAGCTTACATAAGAAGCATATTACTTCTAAAATCATAATCAGAATTATATCCACCAGTGTTATATACTTATTCGAAGACCATTTAATTATGTCTCAGGTAACTAAATGAGTTCCATACAACACTTATTTACCGTTGTTTGACATTTGTTGTTTAACTATAGAGTACAGTGGCAACATTGTTAACGAATAGTAAAGGTGAAATATTTTGTAAAACCTATAATATAATAAGGTGTATGTAATCAATTTTTTAGTTACTTCTCGCACTTCGCATATTGTAACACTAATTTAGCAAATTTTTTTCTAGTTTCTTCCTTCTTCCTGTCGAATTGTCACCGATGATGTGTCCAATATACCAAGAATTAATACGTCCGATTTGGAAATACAGTTATAGAAAACAAAGATGTTTAGGATAACAAACTAAGGAGAAAGTCTTCTCAGAATTCAACTGTTTCATTTTTATTGTTATTATACGGACAGACAGACAGATTGCAGGCACCTTAGACCCCGTAATAGGAGGTAATGAGTCCCTGAAAAGGGAGTCCTTAAAGCCGGGACTCAAAAATTCCTGTGTGTCGTACTGTGTATGGATATGTATGGAGCATTCAATAGTCGGTTAGGCGACGAACCCGAAATTACAAATACGATTTAATAAACAATTCAAGAAAAGAGAGGCATTTAGCAATAACAAACGAATATGGTTAGCAAAATGGACTAAAAGTAAGAGTAGCTACATGAATATATACATGGAAGACGCCGAAATTTACTTCGTTCGTGATATCTTTTCGTAGAGTAGCTTTACGATTTAAGTAATATAGCAAAAGTATTCTCCGATTAATACTCTTATTGGGCAGGTTCGCTATTTTGTTTTTTTATATATATGCTGTTTTCTTAACTATCTGCAAGCAGGATCTTGATATAATTATAATAATAACAGCAATGAAAGTATGCCTTCTGCAGTGTGATCAACTTGCCCACGTTGCTTAACTACAATCCCTGCTGGTGTGCAATATTTATCTGGTAAAAATGCCCAATTGAATGACTTCGACAGTGATAATAGTAGGATAGGTGCGAATGACATTGTCGTTGATGCGTTGCTGTTAAAATGTTCAAAGGCGATGAAACGATAAGGAAAATTAAATTAGTGGATTGTAACTTTTGGAGACGAGTCAGCGTTAATCTTGTCGATAGTAAAGCACTACAGGTGCGAAATAAACACAGTATTATGCGATGCCATTGCCTGTATCTAACTACTACATTTACTGCGACCCGCCACGCCGTTGACTTTATAGCTGAATATAAAACTCTTTTACGGACTTGCAGGTAGAAGATCTCACAGTAAATTCAACCAACTTCATAATAGTAACGTTAATTTTATTTGTACGTACGCACAGTATGTGACACACAAGATCGGTCATTGGGAGTACTAATGTCGTACAAGTCAGCTTGACCTTCGTGAAACTAGTACAACAAAGTGATCTGAATTAATTTCGATAATGCCGAAATTAGGGGCTCTTAGGGGTTAATAGTGAAACGTCAGGGGCTCATAGATCTATGCACACCGTACGGATATTAATACAGAACAATAAGTGATCTGCAAATGTAAAATTTTAAATCAGGGCACCCTAAACTAACCACAGCATTTTTTTTTTTATATTTCAATGTTATACACTTTTTGAAGGCTAATTTACGGTTAGCTTACGTTGCTCTGGTTTAAAATTTAATGTTACAGCTCTTTTCATATTCTGTGCAAATGTTCGTGCGGTTCTGATCTACAATTTTGAACTTTAGGTACACTATCCATAAGGCAACAGTAAGAGCTTGGAAACATTGTATTTCGTAGAGAATTATTATCATAAGGTCGTCAGTCCTACAACTGGTAGAAGACGGACCTCCACTCGCTCCTATCTTGAGCCAATCTTCGCATTTCCCTAAAACTAGAACAGTCACATCCGTAACTATGTATTTGTGAACAGTAATCTAATCTGGTTCTACCTCTACTCTTTTTAACCCCTGCTTCTGCTTCTAATTTGTCTCTAACTAGTCCTTTTCATGCCTGTGAATGTGTCCTACCAACCTATCTCGCTATTTTTTATTGACTTCCGGAACGCCTTCCGTTCTCCTACTCCTTCCAACACCTTTCCTTGTATACTAATAGTTTTGTTTTATTTTTACTTATTTTTATACCATAGTGTTTTGTTAAAGTCGCTTCCATTTTATTTAAGGCTATCTCTAACTCCTCCTTGTCATCTACTAAGTGCTCCTGTATATCTATCCCTAAGGTTGTCCTACCTTTACTGATATTTATCGTGTCTTCGATATATCGATTAGGATGGAAAAATTGCGAATATTTCCTGTCGTGAGGTACATGTTGGAAGATACCGAACTCGATATTTACCTCTATCGAGTCGATATGTAAAATTTTGAATGAAAAATTCGTATTATTAAAATTCTCCTGCTATTATTATTGATCGGTGGAGATAACCGGTGGTAGGCTAAACAGTTTCGCTCAGTTTTCCACACTCGCAGGTTAATACGCAGACACAGGGCACGTTATCGGCAGACTGTCAATCGAGTCGAGTAGCCTTAACGCTTTCGCTGACAAATAACTTTTTATTTTTATCTCATTATATGTGTGAAGCTGGACAATGGCAATTGTTGCGATAAAGTTTTCTACTGTTAACTGCCCGCTCGGCTCGGTGCTACGACTATACCATACCATAGCATGTCATGCCTCACCATGCCACGCTATGCCATGCCGCTTCAAGGTAATCGGTTCCGAAGGCAACAACATTAATAATTTATCGCTTTATTGAGGTCTATAAACTTGATACTCTGAAACACAAGAATGGCGCTGCGAACGCGAAGACTTTGTCATATTGATAACGTTAAATTCTCTGATTTAATAATTACTCTCAAGTAAGGGCGATGTTTACTCTGATGTACATGTACATAATTTGAAGACAAAAAAGGACCTTATTCAAAAAGCCTTTCCTGCCTAAGAAGCTTGCTTTATGGAAATATTCAACAACGTCACCAGTCATCACGAAACAAAGCACTTGTGGCATCGGTTTTCTATCAAACACCTTCAGAAAATTATGAGTGATATCGTTAAGTTGGATCGGCATTAGTTACTACGTTTTACTGTTTAGTGTCTTTTGGTGTTAAATTATTTAAGTACCAAGAAAACACTAATAACAATTAACAATTTATAACAATAACAAACGAAAACACAAATAACAAAAAGGCACAAGGAGTGAAACAAACAAACGAGAACAAAGTAACAAAAAGAACAAGATAATGCAGCAATAACAATAACAATAATAAAGACAACAAAAATGAAAACAATGCAGATACAAGCAGAAACACTTACAAATGGTAGTACAGGCGGTAGACGAGAGACTGTGTAAAGATAAGAAAAAAAAAACTTTTGGGTGCTTCATTCCCACCAGCCAGTAGTGCTGGTGGGCGGGCAGTCCCTCCGGACTATGCCGGAAGGTAGGGCGGAAGGCCCTCTTCAGCCTGCTTTCAGGAATCGTGGAAATGGGTGGGTGGTGGATCGAGTGAGAAAGATGAGACGGACGAAATGAAGACAGAAGAGAGTGAAAGATTATCTGTGGAATATTACTGCCTCAGCATTTGCCTTAGTGATCCAAGGAAACCACAGAAAAACTTGGACCAAGGCAGGCGGACCCGGAATCGAACCGGCGTCCTCCCGAATGCTAAGCAATGGNCAAACCTACACTAGCAAGGAGATCGGGCTGAAACTATAGCTACAAGCTATCCAAGGATGGTACTATAGAATGTCACCTCAAGGTAGGCCTAGTGGCGTCATCTCTTGGTTAGGCCGGAAACTTATCAATCCACCCTCGTATATAATCGTGTATGAATGAAACGGTACCGAACGGTGAATCTTTTCGTTGCGTGCAAATGTCAGAGGTCAATAAGGAAGTGTTCACGATTTTTGATTTTGTTAAGACAGGACTGATGTAAGCTAGGGCGTGATGGGTCGTTACCTGTGGACGGTGAATTATGCTTTCGTATTAATTTTGATTAGGTTGTGGTGACCCGGTCACATCCACGAAAAATATAATGGATTCGTTCTTGAAATGGCAGTGAGACGAACTGTTATGGATATCTCAACGTATTCATAGTTCTGATGATGATAAACGAAATCGTCTCTATACACTAAGTTCGCAATTAGTTGCTGAATGAACGACACGAATTTAGATGGTCAGACCATTGGAAATCTATAAATTTTTCATCTGAAGTTCTAGATCTTCAAGAACTCTTTACTTATTGTATCAAAACAGCATATCAATGGTATCAAAAGGAAGATAAGCAGCTGAGTCTATTTAATCACAAATATTTCGTACATGATAAAGTTTGTACCTATATCAATTTTATCTGCGCTTACATAAGAGCGAAATGGAATTGTGACATTTAAGTGTACTGTAATTGTTAGTTATTTTCTTAATTAAGGTGTATGTTTGGAGCGCGGAGTTGTACGGGTGCGAATCATGAACAGTGGGCGCGGCGGAAAAGAAAAAGTTAGAAGCCTTCGAAATGTGGTGTTATAGGCGAATGATGAGGATAACGTGGGTAGAAAAGGTTAGGAATGAAGAGGTATTAGGAGAACAGAGGACTCTATGGAAGTCCATAAAAAATAGGCGAGATAGGTTGGTAGGACACCTTCTCAGGCATGAAGGTCTAGTCAGAGACATATTATTGGCAGAAGCAGGAGTTAGGAGGGGTAGAGGTAGACCTAGGTTAGATTATTGTTCGTAAATAGTTAAGGATGTCGGTTGTTCTAGTTTTAGGGAAATGCGAAGATTAGCTCAGCATAGGAAAGAGTGGAGGTACGTGTCCAACCANTAGAGCAAGCTTTTTCTATATTACCCATGAGGCTATGTATTTCGTCTGACCAATCAGGTGCCGTCACTTGCAATGAGATGGAT